AAATTTAACAAAATTTTATAATAATTGTTAATAATCGATAATACTATATATCGTTATATAACTATAATCGATATATAGTATTAAGGATATATATCGATATATAGCTATTAATCAATATATATCGTAGATTACAAACGACCCTAGTACTTGTAATCGATACAAATCTTCAAAAAAAAATTCCTGATGTATGCTTAGCTCACAATTATGATACACCTAGTTCACAGTTGTTGTGGGTAATATTTGATGGCTATTTATCACAATCCAAAGATTGATTGTAAGAAGATAAGCCTGGGATTAAGAATAGCGCAGTAGCTCTTAGTAGAGTAAAAAGTATAGGGTTTTGCCTTAGTTACATTCCTCAGACTATGTGTCTGAAACTTTAAAATCTTAATTATTTCACTTTAGACCATGTTTGACTTCTTTACAATATAGAATCCTTATAGTTTATATTCAGATTTTCTTTCTTCTTTTGTTGTATTTGAGTATTAGTTATTAGTTTAGTTATTCTTTTTATGTTGTATTAGTTATTTTTTATTATTGTCATATTGTATTTCTTTTTGTATATAATAAATCTTCCTGGTAATTAAGATTTGATTGTTAAATAATAATCTGACCCAGTTTGAGTTTCGTGACCTTATACCACATATTTAAGTGTTATTAATCTCGAACCTAGTTATCTATCAAAGCTAAATTGGATTAACATCTGCAATTGCTTTCCCAACCGATAGTAACACTGTCTTAAAATATAATATTCTTTAATTTGTCACTCAAGAGAGTCTCATATTAAATGTTAACTTATACTTACCATATTTCATTGTTTAGTAGCCACTTTTAATACCAATATATTAATGAATACAACATAAAATTTTCATATTAAAACTTCGATTTATATTTTCAAATTATATATGCAAACAGAACTTATACATGATAATGTAATTCTTATATTAAATTGCTTACAATTTAATATATTTAGCTAAAAAAGCATAATGCAAAACATAATAACAAGAGCAAATATAAACCTAAATAGCAAGAGAAAAAATGCTTTAGTTAATTAAAATCACTTTTGTTTAGCATTCTTTGGTGACCGACCACGTAAATGTTTTATTACTGGCACCTGGCTTTTATTACAATTTGTTGCAGTGCTAATACAAATAATCAGTTTTACAACTATCTTATCATGCTTGTATTTACCAGCACTTTTCTTTAAAGATGTTTTATTTTCATCTATACTATAGAATATATCTATTATTTGGTAGACATCTATATAAATGTTTGATTGCTGGCATTTTAATTCTATTATAATTTGTTATATCAGAAATGTTAACAGTTTCAAAAATATTTTTTTGCATAATATTTGGACCTCTTTGTAGCAGCTCTGGAATTTTATCATGCTCAATAATATACTCAGAAGCCTGCTGCATTAGACTTGCAAAAGCATCATGATGATGACTTGGAAGTTGTTTAAAAGTTTGAACAATATATAGATAGACAGTATTCAATTCTGCTTAATATTATACATGCCAGCGCTAATAAATCTTACTAGATAGTACATCAGTATGTAAATATAACAAATATACTATGATAATATGCTGACAAGGGGTTCTTGTATATTGTGGGTGCAAATATATACAAAAACTGGGTGCTTCAAGTTGTATAATATTTGTCAAAGTCAAATTAGCATGGTTACAATTCATATTATATTGTATACATTATTACTACTTTTAAATACTTCATAAGATTCAGATTTTGCAAGTTTTGCTTGCTGTTTTATAAATGATTCAAATGCAAAGCGTAAACATACTGATTTTAACTTTTCTAGCACCATATTAGCTTCATCATATCTATGCTTGCTCTGATGTAAAAATGATTCATATACTTGTTTTTGAGATAATTCATGCAATTGTTGCAAAAGGGTTGCAAACAAAACATCAATGGGAATAATTCTATTTTTGACACCTTTCAGTTTACTGTGAAGACTTTTGACACACTGGCTTGACCTTATATCAAGATTTATATTTCTCTTTGTATAAAATACAAGCCAGCTTTTTTTATATAGCATCCAAGTTTCAGACATATATATTTTCGCTCTTGAATATTTTGTTCATAATACTGTAATATCTTTTTTGACTTCATTTTCTAAAAGGTCACTATAAGTAAGTTTTTGAAGGTTCTTAATAAATTTATCAATTTCAACTTCTTTTCAAAGCTTATTTTTGATGTTCTTAAAAATATGCTATATATATAATTGATGTTTTGTATATGGAAACACATTATTAATCGCTATCATAAAGGCCAATTTCTAATCAGTTATCATCATTGCAACTTGTGTACTACCTGTCACAATAATTAGTGCCTTACTTAGTTGTTGCAATACCTAGCAGTAAAATTCTTGCATTTTGGAATAAGCAAAAGTGAAAGCAAGCGGATATATAGATCCAAACTGATCAGTACTACAAATAGTGACTAAAGGTATTGAAAACCTGTTGGTTTTGTAAGTTGCATTGATAATCAAAATATCTATTCCCACTGCAAACTTAGAAATCACATTGTGGTAGGCCCAAAAAATTACCTGTATAAATTCACTATCCTGGTTTCATTCATTATTAAATGCATTTTTTAATACAATGTTATCTATAATATTTTCATCTTCACACAAATTTTTAAGAAACATTTTGATCATGCTTAAACCTTGTAACTTCAACTGCCGTTAATGACTTATAGCATTGTAGACATCAGGTTTATGAATATATTTTGTGCTAACAGAATTTAATACTAAAAAAATGTCTTTTGTTCTAAATCTACCATTGTGTAGTTTTTTTATAAATCTAAGATTATTTTGATCAAGTTTTCTTATAACACTACTAAGTTTTGTAGCATTAGAACAAGAATCATGGTTTTGCTCTAGGCATGATTTAGTAATTACAAATTCTTTGTTATATTTATGATAATATATGCCAATAGCAAAGTGACATCCAGTACGTTTGGTGGTATATGCATCATTTGTTCCAGAATATTTTTCTTGTTTTTTTTTGCATACAAAAAGTACTTGCTTATAACTATTATCAGAATTTTTTTTTGTTTTTTCTAAAATTATAACAGAATTCATTTATACTGCATAACTTTCGATTGTTGTATAAGCTTTAGCAAAGGTTGCAAAAGTATATCTGGATTTAACAGTACTAGTGTCAATTGCATTAGAAAGTCCCAAGGTATTATTCATATTGCAAAAATCTAAATTATTTAGAATTTAATATCTATTTAAGTTTTATCTAAATTACCAAAAGACAAAATTTATACACACGTGAAAGTTCTTTATGAAAAGCAGAATGTCAACTCAATAGGTAAGGCTTTGAATTTATAAGTTTTTTTTTTTATTACTTTACTAATGGCCTTTTTTTATTATTATTATTGTGCATCTTTACAACAAAAGGCATAAGAGAAGAAAAATTATGATTGTTATAATGATTAGTTTTATTATCGCTTATTGGACTTTTAATATTGTGCATTATTGCATTATATTTTGTCATATAATTCACAATTCAAAAAGCAATTTTAAACTATGATTTTTTTTTATTTGAGTTTTACGTCATTATGTTATCATCATTTGAACTTTCACAATTCGAAAGGCAATTTTACAGTAAGTTGTGCGTTATTATTTATAGGTTGTTTAGTTTTGTAAATTGAGTTTATTTTAATTAATAGACAATTTAAAAGTTAAATAACAAGATAAATTACTATTATTATGCTTTAATATATCGCCATATTTAGAAAAGTTTAATTAATATATATCCCTTAATATGTAGACCAACGCAGGCAAATTTGCCTGCGTTTTTGCACTTTTTTAGCTCTGATTTACTTTTT